CGCTCTTCTGCATCCATAAGATGATAACAGTCCTGATGATGATTCAGCTGTTGGCAATGCTGCAAACTTAGACGATTAATTCCGTTATATGTACTATTTTATTTTTCACTTTATTTAGACTTTTATATTTTTTTAAACATTATATATGCACTTCATGTAGTATTCATAATATATTTTATAAATTTATTTAGATTTACTGTTTTTAATATTAATTTATATTCCACTTTTAATGCATCTTAATAAATTATATTCAGTATGTAACATAATAATTTTTAATTAAAATTATTAAAAATTAATTAATTGCCATTTTTTAAAAATTATAAAAAAAATTTTATTTTGGTTTTTTGCGACGACTTTTTTAGATTTGTTGTCGCAAAAAAACGAGGTTATTTGCGACGACAATTTGAAATGTCGTCGCAAAAAATTATAATATCACGAGAATTTTGCAACGGCGTATTAGCAACGCCTGTCGTCGCAAAAACATTTTGTCGTCGCAAATACGGTTGCGACGACACTATGTCGTCGCAAAAAAAGTTTTTGTGACTAATTAATTGCGATGACAAATCTGCGACGACACGTCGTCACAAAAATAGTTATTTACGATGACCTGTGGGTTTTTGCGACGACTTTTTGTCGTCGCAAAAACACATTTTTCTTGTAGTGACAATAATGATAGAAAGCTTCCCTTTGGCGTTTGATTTGAGTTTTATGGTATTAAATCTGTTTTGATTCATTTGGAATTTAAATTCATTGTTCACTATTTCTATGGATATATAGTTACCCAAATTAATACTTGTAATTTGTAGTTATATTTCGTTTCAATGTAGGATCAAGAGTTTTTTTAGTGGGCTACTATGAAATAAATTGAAGATAGTTTTTATTGAACACAAAAATAGTAATATATTTCGATTATTGGAGGCAAAATTATTATTTGTCTTGTAAAATAAGAGTGCAACGATAAGTTTAATTATTGTATGGGGAACCGTTACGATTTTTCTTTTTTTATTGTAGCTATAAGTGAGATTAAACATATTTAACAAGACTTAGTCAGCCAAGTGGTTCGAGTCAAAAGCACAAGTGGTTGGCTTGTATGTATACAACAAAGACGATAATGATGTATAACCAAAAAAAGACTTAAACTCATGAGAAAAATTGGATATCGTCACTCTTATCACCTTTAAACTCATGAGAAGCATGACAAGTAAAGACGACGTTGATATCCGGAGACCTGGTCAAATTTCGTTGGAAAAATTGGATAGTCGGCAAATGGGCCTGAAAATGCAAAGCAATATCCTTAAACTCATTCCTCAGATGTTTATATATAACTGCAAGTAAGATCGAGTGTGATGGCAGAATGAAAATATACAAACGACTATTACAACTAAATCTCCCTACTTCAACTGACCGAGAAAAGCATGAAGTCTTGTGAAGCTCTTCAAAACACAATACTAATATTGCTCATCTTCCTTGCTCCATCCTTATGTATGTCCCTTGTCCTTGACACCATTACACCAAACCACCCCATCAAAGACGGCGACGTTTTGCTCTCCGGCCAAAAGACCTTCACACTCGGCTTCTTCAGCCCCGGCAAGTCCCGCAACCGCTATGTCGGAGTCTGGTACCACAAAATCTCAGAGAAAACCGTGGTTTGGGTCGCAAATAGAGACAATCCCATCAACGACACTTCAGGAGTCTTGGCCATTAACAGCAAAGGACGCCTCAGCATTAATGCAAAATACCAAAACTCTCCGATTTGGTCCGCAAATCTCTCTGTATTTTCAGAAAAAACTAGTTCCACTTTCATACCTAAGCTTTTAGACGTTGGAAATCTTGTTTTGATGAAACAAGATGACAGTTTTGGACAGAGCACTGTTATTTGGCAAAGCTTTGATTATCCCACGAACACTTACCTACCTTTCTTGAAGCTTGGGCTGAACAGAAAAACCGGTCTCGACCGGTTCATAACATCCTGGAAATCGGCGGATGATCCGGGAACCGGTAATTGTACGTTCCGGATGGACCTAACCGGATACCCACAGTTGGTCGCGTACAAGGGACAGGTTCCGTTTTGGCGGGCCGGCCCTTGGACGGGTCGTAGATGGAGTGGTGTTCCCAGAATGATAACCGGGTACATCTTCAACACGAGCTATGTGAACAACCAAGATGAGATCAGCGTCATGTATGGAATCGTCAACAATTCAAATTCGATTTTCTCAAGACTTGTGATAGAAGAATCGGGAACAATAAGGCGGTCAACTTGGCTCGACCAGCGTAAGGATTGGGTCGAGTTCTGGCATGTTCCGGATGATTGGTGCGACAATTATGGGAGCTGTGGTGGAAATGGAAACTGTGACCCGTCAGACGCAACCCGATTCGAGTGCATGTGCCTGCCCGGATTCGAGCCCCGGTCGCGTGAAAGTTGGGACTTGAGAAACGCATCAGGTGGGTGCGTGAGAAAGGGTGGGGCACGCACATGTGGAGATGGTGAGGGGTTTGTGAAGGTGACACGTGTGAAATTACCCGATACATCCAACGCACGTGTGGAAATGGGATTGAATTTAAGAGAGTGTGAGGAGCAGTGCTTGAAGGATTGCAATTGCACGGCTTACACGAGTGCGGATGAGACTAGGGACGGTGTTGGTTGCTTGTCATGGCACGGGGATTTGGTTGACATAAAGACATATACAAATTTAGGGCAGAATTTATATATACGAGTGGATGCAATTACGTTAGGTATGTCTACCCATTTTTTCATCAAACTTACTTGGTGGTCTGGTTATTTCACTAATTTGAATTCAAACCTTTTTGTTATAATATTTTTTTCTCATAAAAAATTTGAATTTATGTTCAAATTACCATGAACCAAATCGGTTGGATTCTTCATTTAAGTCATGAGTGAACGTAAAAAGGAGGAAAAAGTTAAATAAACAAATAAGAATTACGTATTGATGAACGTATTATCAAACAACAACACAAGTTAAAAAAATAATTAAAAAAAAAAAGACAAAAGTTCCCTTTTGTTAACGGAAATGAAGATATTTTAAGCTATCTTAACTTTATTGTATTTTTTTACTTTTTTGGATGATTCTCATCCTGCCTCAGCGTCGTTTTTTACCCCTCTTTTTAACACTATCACATGATAATAACATTAGTATCAAAATTCAGAGCAAAACCAAAAAAAAAAGTTTTGCTATTAAAATAATGTAAAATCTATTTAAACTCACATGTGACACATAACATTAATGTTGACGCATTTTATTACATAATCCATCTATCACAACCCCACGATGCTACGATTAACTTTATAAGTATCAGAAAATGAGACCTGTCATTTACTTGTCTAATGAACTTGTTTGCTAATGAACTTTTAGGTTCATGGGTCTTAAATAATATTGATTTTGTCATTTATTTTTCTGTTACTATTTTCCTTTTCTAACTTACTGTTTTCTCCATATACGTAGCTCAATATGCAAGGAAATCGAATGGTTCTATCAACAAAATGGGAAAGCTAGCAATTTTGATATCTTTTGTTGTACTCTTTTTTCTCTTGGTTTTCATAGCATATTGGTTGGCAAAGAGGAAGAGAAAATCAGGTGAAAAGAGTTTCACAATTTCCCTTTCTATTCATTCTATGACAATTTTCACCTCATTAGTAGTGCAACGGATTAGTAAGTTTCTATATATATATATATATATATATATATATATATATATATATATATATATATGTGTGTGTGTGTGTGTAAAAAGACATTTAATTAATAAGTTACTTCTATTGTTGTTGTTGTTGTTTTAAGCACAATTGCTCCCGAGTTTGTCTTCAAACTACCTCTCCAAATTTTAAATTTGACAATCAATCCTCTGAACTTACAAAATTGTTGTAATATATCTCATCTTTTACTAAATGTGTTTGGTTTTTTTTAGATTTAAGGGATTCAAAATTGCAGAATTAAAAGATTTGCGTTACAATAGAATTTTAGAATTTTTCATTGAACGTGCTTTTTAGATACTAATTTATCACAATCATTGTCAAAATAGAGCATATTACAATAATTTTACGAGTTGTGGGGAAACTTGCTAAAATTAAAAGTTCAGGGGATAAATTATTAAAACAATATATCTTCAGGGAGAAAAATTTGTAACATGCCCTTATGATTATTGTCTAATGCCAAAACAATGTTGACTTAATAGGTTGAGCATTAGTTTTTAAGAAAATCATACCAAGAATTATTTGTCATATGTTTGGTGACAGTCATAGAGAGGCGAAGCAGAAATTTGTTTGGTAACACCAAACGTGCAAATGATTTCTTGAAAGTGACGGAGCTTGATGATAGTAGAGCAGATTCAGATGTTCCATTATTTGATATGCATACCATCGTTGTAGCCACAGCCAATTTCTCCCTTGATAACAAACTTGGACAAGGTGGCTTTGGCTCAGTGTACAAGGTAAACCTTCTCTAATAAAGTGTTTCAAATTTTGTAAGTATTTCCAATTTTATTTTGTTATTAGTGCCAATTATGAAGTACACAAAATAGCTGCAATTTCAATCTTACAAATATGGGGCAAAGCATATAAGTAAAATTTGGATTATGGTTTCAGGGTATGGTATCAAATGGGAAGGAAATTGCAGTGAAGCGACTATCTACTTGCTCTGGGCAAGGAAGTGCAGAGTTTAAGAATGAAGTTCAGCTTGTTGCAAAACTACAACACAAAAACCTTGTGAAGATTTTAGGTTGTTGCTTCCATGAAGAAGAGAGAATGTTAGTCTACGAGTATTTACCAAATAAAAGCTTGGACCGTTTCATTTTTGGTATGCTTTCTTTCAATTTTTCTTTTTGATTGCTCTTATTAAAAGTGGAAAGAATCGCATTCTTAAAATAAATTTTGAAGCAAATTGGAAGAATTTTGTAACACTTCTTAGTCTAACTGAATATAGATAAGCCTTTGCATATCAAGCTCAAGAAGCTAATTAGCAAACGTTACAAGTTTAAGCATATTCAATTACTTTAATTTGTCATCAGATGAAGAGAAAAAGAAATTGTTAAATTGGAGAAGACGCTTTGACATAATTTGTGGCATTGCTCGAGGGATCTTATATCTTCATCAAGATTCAATACTAAGAATCATCCATAGAGATCTAAAGGCAAGCAATGTTCTTCTAGATGCTGCTATGAACCCAAAAATTTCAGATTTCGGTTTAGCAAGAATATTTGGAGGAGACCAAAGTGAAGCATGCACAAATCGCGTGATTAGAACATAGTAAGTGCCCGTTAACTAAAGAAATCTGTTTTCATTAGCCAACATGCGTTAAATTTGTGGAGAGAAGGCAGAGCCTCCGAAGTAGTGGATCCGTTTTTGGACGAGGCATTTGTTGATGAAGCTTTGAGATGCATCCAAATTGGTCTGCTGAGCGTGCAAGAACATGCGAAGGATCGACCAACCATGTCGGCAGTTGTTTTGATGTTGGGAAATGATTCAGCTCTTCTCTCCCCAAAACAACCTGCATTTATCCTTAATAGACGTTGGGTTGGTACTGGAGACTTGGCATCTAGTGAAGGTGTTAATTACTCTATAAACTTTGTGACATGTACTATGGTGGAGGCTCGCTGAATTTGTAGAATTATATAGTGCAACAAAATATGACTTTGTAGTTTTCAATTTTGTATTACCTACAGTTTTTATATATGTAGTCCATGTTTGTAATGCGTGCTTACAATATTGCATGTGGAAGCCAAGAAGACGTAATTGTTTCTTCTCTTTTGCCTTGGACGTCCTGGAAATCTAGAATTAACTTACTATTTATTTTTTATTTATATATTTTTTTTTTTTGTTCCTCCTTAAACTACAAAGAAGACTTAATCTAGAACTCTTTTCTTTCTTGGCTAGTAAAATAGATCATGGTTCTTGGAATATTGGGAATGATTGGAGGAATACTCTTCATAATTAGGGATGTTCATAAACCCGTAAAACCCGCAGACCCAATCCACCCTACCCCAACCCAACCCGAAAAATGTAATTTCTAGTATTAATTTTTTTTTTCTTCAGCCTATTCAATGTCTGCCCCGAAGTTTTAGGACGGGGTGTGGGTTGAGCTTATAATGGCCCGCATACCTCAACCTAACCCGTGCTCTAACTTTCCTCCTCTAATATTTAACCCTAGACAGACACTCATTTCTACTCTCTAGTTTCTTCATGTTTGAATTAAGCATCTATGTTTGCTTTATGTTAAGACTAATATATGAGTGTAGACTAATTTATGTTTGATGTTGGATGGACTACTTTGCTTCATGTTTAATGTTAGATTGAACTTTGAATTTCTATATGTTTGAATGTTAGAGTTATTATTTCTATTTGATGATGAACTTTAAATGTTGGATTGAACTATGAGTCTTTGATTATTTGAATGTTAAACCCAACTACCCAACCCACCCCGCACCGCCCCAACCTAACCCAAACATCATTGGGTTGTGAAATTTTTCTAACATCGTTGGCATCAAATATGTGCAATCCGCACCCTTTAGAACGGGAGAAAAAAAAAACCCTTTTTTTTTTACTATTTGCCATCTATCCCCTTACACCTTTTTTTATTTTTTTGCTTCTTTTTTCTGGGTTCTTAGACTAGCTAGTACCTTTTTTTTTTTTTTTTTCCAATAAAAAATTGACTAGCTAGTACTTATTCCTCAGTTTATAACACAAAAGAGGACAAATTATTATCCTTAAAAAAAAAAAAGGCGAAAGAAGAAAAAGGGCAAAGAATCATGAAGCAAGAAAAAGAAGTCCAATATGTTATATTCTTCCAAAACGTATACATATATAAACATTCTGTCATGAGCATGCCCTTCCATATCACTATCCAGAACAAAATCTACGAAAACGACAACCGTGAATGGTGGTTACAACTCACAATAACAGTGAATCGCAAAGATATATGAGGACACATTAATGAATTATGATGAATAATAAGGTATCGTTCATTTCACCGATTTGAATTTTCAGTTTTAGATTTTTACAATTAAAAACTCTTAAAAATGTCACATTTAATTTTTTTTATTACAATTAACAACTTTTAAAAAATGTCAAATCTTAATTTGAATTAAAATTTAAATTTGTGAAACAAACGAAGTATAAGAAAATAAATAAATAAATAGACATAAGACTACACCCGTATAAAAACGGCTTCAACTGTTTTACATTGGGCAATCCTCAAGTATCACGTTCTTACTTTTATTATGAAAAAGAGAGAGTGATATATAGATCTATATATATTATTTTACTTTTATTTTAATGTTGGGACACATCAGCTACCTCCCCTTTCACCCTTTCTTTAAAAATTAAAAAAAAATAAAAAAAAAAAAGACAGTAGGCCGAAGAAGAGGTTGAGAATTTTTAAGCAGTCCCATCCGGCGGTCACTCTCGTCCCTGTACCCTTTTCCTTTCTTTCTATAAAATTTAAGGGTCGTTTATTTTTTATATTTATTTTTAATTTTAAATTATAATTTATAATTTTTACAGTATTTTTTTTATAAAAAATATATATAAAATAAAAATAATTTTAAATAAGCCATCTCTTTCTTTCCCAGCTGTCCGATGATGAAACTGGCTTTCTTTTCCCTTTTCTTAGGGGGAACCAAAATAAACGCACTTTCAACTCTCAGGTCCATATTATACATCAACTACATGCATTTTCACCTACCATTTTGACAAGTGTTTCACAAAATTAGTAAATATAGAAAACGTGGAGAGAAAAATATGTTGGTTTAATATACTATATACGCACCAATACTTTTGACTCCGCTACAAGATTTGAATAGATTGTTCTGTTTTTATGAAAAATAGTGTTAATGATACACGGAACAGTTTAAAGAATTGGTATTGAAAAATTGAAGAACGTGGCGATTTTTTTTTTTTTTTTTTTAATGGAGAACGTGACAATCATTAGGCAGCAGAAGAGAGTTAGTACGTAACAATAATTGTGGAATGGTAAGGGGGAAAATATTGTAGTGAGAGGACCACGTACTAGTTGTTGAATGGAAAGAAATATTTGTGTGGAAAGCCAACAAACTATAGGATAAAACTTTGATTATATATATATATATATATACGAGTTTTAAATGGTTATATTTTTTTTTATGATGGTTATCTATTAAATATAAAAATTTAATGATTTGATGTGATAAAAATATAATTTCATTAATTATCATAAATTTTTTTAAATCAACTACATAATTTATTATAACTGTTAGATTAATATCTTACGGTTAAAATAACGATACCCATTGCTGAGTAAATATTAGAGTAAGTACTAAATCCACACTATATATATCCATGTGAGTATAATTATAATGGTTATTCGAATATTTACCCATCAATAGATATAATTATTTTGACCGTAAAATACTAAATTAAAAATTGTAATTAATTGTATAGTTGCTTAAAAAAATTATAATAAATAATTAAATTGATTTCTTATCGCGTAACTTATAAATTACGGATAACTCATCTATATATGTATAATAGCATCGGTCTTGTTAATATATTAATGTGATCCACAAAAAAACATTATGGAAATTTTATTGATCATGGCTGGATTGTATAAACAGTGGTCCTTAGCGATGGCGAGCAATACTTGTATAATGAGTTCTATAATTAAGCCTATAATAATGTTTGAATCCTGTTTTGGTCTCCCAAATTATATTTACACTTCGAGGACGTTTAATTTATGTATTCAGAATAATAATTTATAATCATTCTCATTTTACGTATATTTTTTATAAAAAAAATAACTGTAAAAAATCATAAATTATAATTTAAAATTATAGATAAATATAAAAAATAAACATCCCTTAAAACATTTTAGCACACTTTCGAGCAGGGGAAAAGCAACGAGGATTATTAAAAAAATGAAGAGTCGCGTTGGTAATTGCGACATATACTATAATATCCATTTCATTGCGTCAGACAATTAAACGAAGGTTAACAAATATAAAAAATAAACATCCCTTAAAACATTTTAGCACACTTTCGAGCAGGGGAAAAGCAACGAGGATTATTAAAAAAATGAAGAGTCGCGTTGGTAATTGCGACATATACTATAATATCCATTTCATTGCGTCAGACAATTAAACGAAGGTTAAGATAAGAATTTCACAAGATGACAAATAAAAGAGTAAAATAATCAAAGACATTTGTTTTATTGCACTTTTATTAAAACAAAAGTGTTGGTTTTATGTAAATGATTACGTATTAAGACAAAAACCCAGACAATTAATGAGCCAACTTGTAAACTTGATGACGGAGTTTGCTTGTCTAGCGACCGATGACTAGTCCCAAAACATAATTCCACATTTTTTTCCTCCCTGATAAATTTATTTCAGAAAAAAAAAAGGACTCTTACTAGTATTGTACAATATCATTCCATATAATGATCATCCATGCACTCTAGAGTCCGTTTAGTTCGTTAATTTAAGTTTTTAATTTGAATTTAGATGTAATTTTATGTGAAAATTTATTACTGTAATAAAAAAGTTAAATATGACTGTTTCTAAAAGCTTTTTACTGTAATTAATGGGAGTATCTCATACCATGCTAATTGTTAAGTGATGCCATACTTCTTTTTTTTTTTTTAATCCTAGTTTTAAGTTATTTTTGGTTACGATAGAGTGCGACTAATTATTTGGCATTATATATAATATGTATATGTAGGTTGTTAAGTACTCTAATGTTCGAACTTGAACCCTACAATATATCCTCAGTGATCTACTTTCCATAGTCCAACTATCACGTTATCAAATTTATATCCCTATCTACCCAAACACCTACCAATATTCTTTAGAATGATGGTTTCATCTTATATATATATATATATATATAGCACACACATACACACACAGATTGTCCATATAATTAGTTACGGTCAAGAGAATACAAATAAGTTTAATCCCAAACATGAAAATTGGTAACGTCATGATCAGCATGAATGGGCATCCAGGAATAACTAATCCGATCATAGTTATTTTCTTTAGATATTTTCAATTTGCCACATTCAATTCCAACGTTAGTTTATGCATGAGATTATGGTTTACAATTCCAAAACTATCCTTCACTATTTCAAGGGTTAAAAAGAAAACATTTTGACGGGTCAGTTTTTTTTTTTTTTTTTTTTTAAAGTACTAATAATACCAATTTTGAAAAATTAATTATAAAATAAAGCTCGATGAGATTGGAACGCTAATATGATGGGATAACGAAATTGTATAGAGGAAGCCATTGTCAGTATATGTATTTCAGTTGGAAAGTTTGGAAATCGATCCTTTAAAGTGGTTGCTAGAGAGGTTGAGGAAAACGAGCTCACGAAAATTGGAGATTGTTCATGCAATGTTGTCAGTGAGCCAGTTTGTTAAAGAGGTTGAGTTGCTTCGTTTATTTTACTCGTTGAAGTTAAGAACTTTAGTTAAAAAATAAATTTATGTGAAAAAAATACTGTAATAAAAAAATTAAATTTAAATTTTTATGAGAAAATATTATAATAAAAATTTAAGTTATGATTCAAATTAACGAAACAAAAAAAAAGAGTTAGAGTAGCAAAATTTTATTGATTAAATAGTTCTTTTTTTTTTTACAAGGGG